ACGCGAAGAGATAAAAAGCCCGCCCTTCCAAGAAGCGGCGGGCTTTTTATCTCTTCGCGTATTACTTCCGCGGTGCTGACTTAGCTGTCAGCGCTTTTGCTTCCGGGTGAGCGACCTGGAAGCCGCTTGCGACACCCGGGATGCCACCTCAGGTGAGTTGGGCAATATTCGGGGTGTGCGCTGACAGCTATGTGTCGCAATTCGGGCACGGCGACTTCCGCCTCACAACATCCCTTCCCCCTGGGGAAAAGAAAAACTGAGATTTCAAATTGAAGTTTTTCGCATTTATTGACATATGTGTTAAAAGAAAATTTTTTTTTTTTTTTTTTCGTTATTATTATTATCTTGTTATGATTTTCGTTGTGTGAGGAAGTCGCGTCGCGTACTCTTGTTCGTTTTCTTTTTCGCTATCCATGTTATCGCGACTATGATCCCTGTTATTATTATGATTAAAGATAGGGATCCTACGGGGTACATTATGTATTTATTTGATAAGAAATCGGCTTGGCTGTCTTCTACTTCTTGATTTATCTCGTTTAGATTTAAACTTAATTTTGTTAGTTCCCCGGGGTTTTTGATTACCGGTTCTATTTTTAATTCTGTCGCTATTTCGTTGTTGATTTTGGTATCTGTAGTTACTTGTTTGAAGGTTAAGTTGAATTGTGGTAAGTGCATTTGCACGTGCGTCGTGTGGTCTCGTTTTTTCGTTCGTAGAGTCAAGTCTGTCGTGGTTAGCTTGCAATTGTCAGTTAATTTGATTCTTCCCGTTCGATTAATGTCGATTTTATGTTCTCCTTGATTGTTGCATTGAATAGTTATACTCTGTTTGTACGGTGTAGAAAACAACCATGCCTGTGACTCCGCTAAGGTTATCCAGAATGTTACGGTTGAGAGAATGTGGCGACGCTCGCAATTGTCTTCTTCCGCTCTTATATATATCTGCACCTCGCAGGGTGCATGCGGCGTTATGAAGTATACCGGATGGTTCGTGTTACATACAAACGTTGTGCCGGAGTGTTTACATTTATTCAAATCATCTTCTTTTAGTGTTACATAATTTCGGTTTTCTTTATCAATAGCTAGTAGGTCGTACGTAGTTTTCGGTATTACAAATATATTTTCACGGTCGTGTACCGGCAGGGGGTTTATTCTTATAATTTCGTACTTTGGATATGTGACAATAGGGAAGGTCAGGATTGTGTATACGTTGGGGTTATCGTAGTAAGCATTTATTTCCATAAACTCCTGAATTTTATTCCAATTCTCGGTTTGTATTTTAAAAGGAAAGTGAGCTCCTTGGGATAGGTGAGTTGTCGCTTCTCTCAATTCGGTTATAATATTTTCGAGGGGAAGTAGTCGTACGAGTACTATTCCGCTTTTAGAGTAGGTGAGGTACGCTAAAACGTCTTCTACATCGTTTATTAGTTTGTTCATTATCGCGGTTATGGCTAACAGGTGTTCGTCTATTTCCTCGCGGTGCGCTAAATTCGACACTCGTTCCTGTACTAGTCTGGTTACATTCGCTAGCAAGTTTTCGTTTTTGTTAATAGTTTGCTCTAGCGCTTCCATGTGTCCTAACGTCGCGTTTATAATTTTAATCTGACTTTTCGCCGCGTGTCGCATGACATTTTGTTGGTTTTGCATTAATTCTAGCTGTTCTTGTATGTGTTTCTCATCGTCGGCGTCCATTGTTCCAAATAATGTTTTACTTATGGTTCCTATCGCGTCTAACAGTCCGCGTCGGCTCGTCGGTACTTTGTAAATAGTTTGCAGTCGTATTATCAGTTGCGTCAGTTTCGTATTGTCGTCCTCGGTTATGCGGAGTATGTTATTACATATGACTCGGTTATCGTCCTTTACGCGATCGCATAAATTTTTTATTCGTCCGAGGTAATGTTGGAGCTGGTGGTATCTTATTGCAAACGCTGCTACCTCGATTCGGATAGCCAATTTCCATGTATTTTCTTGTAGTTGCATTGTCCCGATTTTCTCAAAGTAAATTCCTGGTTCGTCGCTAAATGACGTCACCTCGTACGGGGGCATCGGTTCGGATGACATTTCGCCCGCTAGGTGCAAGACGATGATCGGTGTCCTGTAACGGGAATACTATTTTGGACTTGGTATTATTTTTCGTCGCTTTTTCTGCTGACTATATCTTCTGTCCACGGATTTCTACTTTTACGAGTCGCTTCTATCGCGTATATATATATATATATATTTTTTTTTTGTCGGATTTCGTTTTCGTTTGAAAGTCCTAAGTCCTAAGTTTTGCTGACGTCTGTCCGTGTCGGATTTCTTCTTATAATTTCTCTGCTCAATTTCGCGTCAGTTGGCTGCTACTTTCGAGCAGTGTTGGGTGCCTTTCAGTGGTTTTTTAAACTCTGTCTTAATAATTATGCGGTGCTTTCGGTGCACTCAACACTTCACACCCTCGTTTTGTGACGCTTGCCAGCGTGAATATTGGAGGAGTACATTTCGGGCGGCTGCTGCGGATCGCGCAGCGAGGGAGCGCGAGAGGAACGAGGCGCGTGCATCGCCCCCTCCTCCTTACGATGAGGTGGTCCGCCCTGGCATTGTGGTGCCCTTCCCCCCGTTGCGGGTGACGCTACACTCCGCAACAGGACAGAGGGATGTGGTCCTGGTTCGTCCTCGCCGGGACTAAATCTTACTACTATATGTATGCTATATATTTTTTTCTCTACTGCTTGCTTTTCTGTTGCGCATGAGCCTTATTCCTCAATGAACGCTTTTAGTCTATTTGCATGTACGCGTATCGTCTTGCGTTTTACTTTAATGGTGTAGTTTACGTCGCTGTGTTTTTCCACGATCACGTACGGTCCTACCCATTGCGAATCGAGTTTTTTAGATCGTCCCCTTCGTGCTGTTTCATCGTGTAACAGTACCTTGTCTCCTATTTTGAATGTTTCCTTATTGCATTTTTTGTCGAATTGCTGCTTTGCTTTTTCTTTCTCTTCTTTGGTGTGCTCTCTCGCGACTTGATTCGTGGCGCGTATTCGTTCTCGTAATTCTTTCGCGTAATCTTCGTACGAATATGTTAGTTTCGGGGGCCTTGTTAGGGCTGTCGGTAGGTTTGCTTGGTGTCCGTAGACAAGTTCGAACGGTGTGAGTCCTGTCGTCGTATGAGGCGTCGTATTATACGTGAACATTGCGTAGGGTATCCACTCATCCCAGTCGGTTTGGTCCTTATTTATGTAATGTCTTAGGTACTCTGCCAGAGTACGATGCGATCTTTCCAGCGCTCCGTTACTCTCGGGATGATATGCTGTTGTCTGTATTTTTTCGATTTTCAGTAGCTTGCACATGTTTTTAAATATCTCGCTTGTGAAATTTGTTCCTTGGTCCGTGAGAATTTTCTCCGGTATTCCGTGTTCTAGAACTACTTTCGTTACAAAGGCTTTTGCTACTGTATTTGCCTCCTGATTTTCTACGGGTACTGCCTTGCTAAACTTCGTTAGATTGTCCTGGAACGTGAGGAGGTATTTATTTCCGTTATTCGTGACTGTTAGTGGGCCTACTATGTCGAGCGCGCATTTTTTGAATGGTCGCTCGGGCGTATCTGTAATAGTCATTGGCATTTTCGTCTTCCTACTCAATTTGTTCTTCTGGCAGTACTCGCATTTATTTATGTAATCTTCTACATATGCCGTAATTCCACGCCAGCTGTGCTGTAATCGGATACGGTTTAGTGTTCGCGTGACTCCTTGGTGCCCCCCCGTAGGCGAGTCATGATACTCGTAGAGTATTTGCCGCTTTTCCTCCTCCGAGTACTCTCTCGGGGAGTCGTCGTCCTGTTGCGTTACATTTATCGCTGATGTTTCGGCTATCGGATTTCGGCTCAATGCATCGGCATTCACGTTGTTTTTTCCTGCTTTATGTACGATCTCGTAATCGTATTCTTCTAGTTTTAGCCTCCATCTTATTAGTCTGGAGCCGGGGTCGTTTACATTAAATAACCAGATCAATGGTTTGTGATCGGTTATGATTTTAAATCTAACGCCATATAAATAGGGACGGAAATGTTTTACCGCCCAGACGATTGCTAATAGCTCCTTTTCTGTGGTATTATAATTTTGCTCTGCCTTGCATAATACTCGGCTGGCGTACGCTATCGGTCGGTCTTGGCCTACTGTTCCTTGTGAGAGCACGGCTCCGATGGCGTAATCTGACGCGTCGGTAGTCACCAAGAACTCCTTGCTAAAGTCAGGGTAGTTCAATACCGGGGCTGTCGTTAATTTTTCTTTAAGTAGATCAAACGCGTTCTGTTGTTCGATTGACCAGTTGAATTTTTCTCCTTTCTTTGTGAGCTTTGTTAGAGGCTTGGCTATCTTTGAGAAATTTTCGATAAATTTCCTGTAATATCCGGCTAACCCGATAAAAGATTGTACATCTTTCACTCTTCTCGGGGTCGGAAATTCTTTTACTGCTTGTAACTTAGACGGGTCTGGCGATATTCCGTCTTCGGATATCACATGCCCTAGGTAAATGACCTCTTTTCGTAAAAATGCGCACTTGTTCGGTTGTAACTTAAGATTGTATTTTCGTAGTCTACGCAGTACTGCGATTAACCGCTTAATGTGCTCCGTCAGCGATGCTCCGTATATAACAATGTCATCGATATACACGAAACATTTTAATCCTAACAGTCCGGCTAATACCGCATACATTAATCGCTGAAAGGCCGCTGGTGCATTTTTTAGACCGAATGGCATTCTGTTGTGCTCGAAATGTCCGTCTGGAGTCGAAAATGCCGTTTTCTGCTTATGTTCTTCATGCATCGGGATTTGGTGATATCCCGAGGCTAAATCTAGCACAGAAAAATATTTCGCATTGCCTAGCTGATCAAGTATGTCTGTAATATTTGGCATGGGGAAGGAGTCTCCCATGGTGAGATCGTTCATTTTTCTGAAGTCGATCACTACGCGAAATTTTATTCTGCCGAACGCGTCAGGTTTCTTGGCGACAACTACTATTGGCGCGTTCCACTGGCTTGTGCTCGGACGAATTATGCCATCGTCCAGCATTTTCCGTATTTGCTTTCTCACTTCGGCCTTATGTTTCTCGGGTAACCGGTATGGCTTTACATTTACTGGCGCACTATCGGGTCGTGTATTTATTTCGTGTTTTATTGCTGTAGTGGCGCTTAGTTTATCTCCGTCTAGGTAGAAAACGTCATAAAATTCATCGCAAATTTTTTCTACTGCCTCTCGCTCTTCTGTGTTTAAGTGATCGAACTGTACTTGGTCGCGCACTTTCTTTTGTCGCTCTGTGACAGTCTGATCGTATTCTTCATTCGCATGTAACGTGAGTACGCTCGCGGCGTCGTCCGCCGGCAGGTCTTCTAACGTTACGTGTGGAGTGAGGATCTCCACCGGCTTGTCCGTCACGTTCAATATGCTGACCGGACAAGTAAATTCGACGGGTTTTACGAGGCAATGCCCGATGAAAACTCCGGGAGCAGGTTCACCGCTTTTCACTATGCCTACCCGGTTATGATCTGTGATGGCTTTTACAATGGTTTCACTGCGGGGAGGTAGCTTTATTTTTTGATACGGTCGTAGCTTGAAAATGGCTTTCCCTATTTTCAGCTGTTTTGACGTGTTTGAGATATCGGCTTTATGTTTAGTTAGGAAGTCGTTTCCTAATATTCCTTCGTATTCGATGGGGAAGTCATCTTTTACTACGTACATTGTGTGACGTATTTTCTTTTTTCCCAGATCTACGGTCGCTTTTATTTTTCCTAGCGTGTGAATTTGGTGTCCTGTTACGCCGATTAATGCCAGTTTCTCCTCTCGCACCATTGTTTTCCCTTTTAGGTTGCCTACTTTAATCAATGTCAGCGTTGCTCCGGAATCTAATAGAAGATTCATTTCTCCTTGTTCCGCTTCCTGTATAGGCAGTGTTATGATATCTAGCGGGCCCGTCTTGTGCTTCTCTGTTACCTGAGACACTCGGTATGTCTCGGCGGCGCGTGCCTTATTTCTTTTCGGCTTCTCTTCCTCCTCGCTACTGCTGTCGGAGGGTGCGTCCTCGCTAGATTCGCTCGCTTTGGTTTTTCTTACTGTGCCTATCGGTGCTTTTTTCGCACCTTCCTGTTTCGGTCGGCGCGGTCGCTCGGATTTCGGCCGTCCGTTTAACGACCAGCACTCGTCGCGCTTGTGCCCTGCTTTCTTGCAGTAGGTACACTCGATTATGTTTATGCCACCGGGCTTATCCGCTCGCGGCAGCGAGAATTTATTAGCTTGCTGGCTCGTACGGCAATCTCGCCCGTAATGGCCGGTCTTCCCACATTTGTAGCATTTCACGGTCGCGTTTCCCGCATTTCGCGCGTTTCCCTGATTAAATCTATTTCGGTTTACCGCTTGTCCGTTCCGCGGGAAGGGGCCTCTGACTTTTTCCTCGGCACTGGCGCCGGTTATTGCCTCCTGTAGGCTTGGATATCGCTGTGCTCGGACCAGCATCTTGATATCATCGTGCAGCCCGATTTGGAAGTTATGCAAAGCTTGCATTTTAATACTTTCCAATATCGCCTTTTGTTGCTCTTGCGAGTGCCCTTGGCCTTCTTCCATGGCCTCATACAGTTCTCTCGCGAGCTTCTCGACTCGACGCCCGAATTCCTGCGCGCTTTCTCCCGCTTTTTGTTTTAGCGAGTTGAATTCTAGCTGCAGATGGGTCATGCCGCGCTTTCCGAGATATTCCGTTTCGAGTTCGCGTTTTAGCTGCTCGAAGTCGCGAATATCGCGCGTGTCGAAGTCAGTCATTGCCTTGCCCTTGAATTTTGTGCACAGGATTGCTTCTAGGAGCATGGTTTCGTCCGCGGGCTGTATATTCTTCATCGCGTAAGTGCTTGCATTAATAAATTCGCGAACGCGTTCTCGGGATTCTCCGTTCATTTCGGGAATCATGTTACGGGCTTCCTTTAGGCTGAGGAACCCGAGATGGGGCCCTGGCTGACTACGGACGTCGCTGTGCGTCCGCCCGTAGGTCACGTCCAGCGGGCCCTGGCTGGTCCGTACGCGTCGTTCTCGCGCATCGGGGCGATCATATGTGGCGGATTCCACTCGGCTCACGCGTTCCTTTACCTCACGGATTGCGCGCAGGACTTCTACAGAGCGCTCGAACTCTGTGGCCTCTGTACGGTCCATGCGTTCCTGGATGTCGCGCATCATGCGTAGGACATCGCTGAGCACGGAGCTTATTGCTCCTGGGCTTACTTGCGTCGGCTCGGGGGCTCGACTTTGGTTGCCTTCGGGCGGTTGCCCATCTTCCGTGGGTCTAAGCCGCTCTATTTCCGCGTTAATTTGCGCCGGGGATATGTCCTCTCGCGGCGCGATGCTCGCGGCAGCTCTTGGCTGGCTCATTCTGTCGGCCCGGGGGGTATAGTCCTCTTCCTCGGGGTCGAATATATCGCTTTCGTATGACGTCAGGGAGAATTCTCCTCTCCCTGCGTTCTCGCTTTGGGTATCGGCCGAGGTGTCCGATCGTGCGTCACCGTCGGTCGGGGGCTGTCTGTGTGCGTTATCGTGTTCGTCGCCGCTTGTGTGGTCTGTGCTATCTCGCGGGTTTCTGTTCGCGTCGCAAAGACTAGTGTCTAAAAATTCAAATTCGCGTTCTACGATGATATTAGGATGTAGCTCGAGCACCGGCGAGCTTGCGTCGTCGAGTTGCGCGTCTAAATTTCTTCGCACGCGATCTAGTTCGTCGTTCGCGAGTCGTGTGGCGCGAAAACGATTCCGGATACTATTTTCAATGGCTCTTTGCGCGCGCTCGCTTAACACGAATGACTCGTTGCTGACAGGGGGATGCCGGGACAAGTCGTCCGACATCTATTGACGCTTATACTTTAGCGCTCTGGAACGCAAAAATCTTTCGGCGCTTCGCGGTTGTAGTGTCTGCAATCGCGAAAATTTCTCTTGCAGTTCGCTATCGCGGGATACGCACGTAGAGATATAACGTTTTCGTCGCGGCGCGTGCCGGTGTCGGCTTACAATGGAGGGTCGACTTACAGTACCGCCGCGTAGTGCATCGTGACCGCTTTCTGCCGCGTTGAGTCTGACAGGGCCGCTTCACTGCTTCTGCGTTGTCTGCTTCGCCGCGTCCCTGCTGCGCTGCTTCGCTGGCTTGTTGCGTCCCTGCGTCGCTGCGTCGGGCTGGCGAGTCCGTGCGGTAGGTCGAGGCCTCTCCGGTGTCGCTGATAACACGCGGGGCTACTGCCGTTGTTTCACGCACTCGGGATCCGGCTGGCTTTTCCTCTCCGGGATACTTTACCACCGTCTAACGATCCGTTCCCTTTCGCAGGCGCGATCTGGCAAGACGTCCTCCCGTCCGGTTAGCAGATCCCACCGCTGCCACCAATTGTTGTGCCGTGCCTCTGATTCGAGGGGTCGGCACTGAGTTCTTTTGGATCCGCCGGGAGGAAAGAGGAATAATGTTGCCAGATTCTTGTTTGATGAGATTTTAATAAAAACCTTTTGTCACTTGTTACAATAGCTTCGTTAATTTCGTTGCCCTGACTCGCGGGCGTTCCCAATAAGATAAGTTACGTTGGTCGTGCGCGATTAGCCTTACGTTCTAGACTGCCCGCCGCTTCTTGGAAGGGCGGGCTTTTTATCTCTTCGCGTATTACTTCCGCGGTGCTGACTTAGCTGTCAGCGCTTTTGCTTCCGGGTGAGCGACCTGAAAGCCGCTTGCGACACCCGGGATGCCACCTCAGGTGAGTTGGGCAAT